GTAATTACATTCTCTACCGCTGCAACGTATCTTGTAGACAACTACAGAGGTTTCAATCTATAGGTTGGATCAAACGGCGGCGTATTGTCGCCGGGTGTCGATGGGCTATGCCTACGCCAGCAGGTTGTAACAAGAGTGAGACTGCTTCGAAGACTCCTCTTATGTAGGGAATGGCCCTCCAGACTTCGGGTTGCTGTTGCACTGGCCGTCGTCTGTTCACTCGGCGCTTACTTTGTTTGATAAATGAGTTCGGGTATCCATTAGCTCGGAAGAGTTTTTAAAGGTATTGTTGCTCAGCTCTTCTGTCATCTGGTGTGCTGCAATGTGTTTCAACTCTTTGGAAAAGAATACGAACGCAGCTACGTTTGTGGGACATGAGGCGATTCCTGTTGAAATGTACTACACGATTCGTGCTGGTGACGTTTCTGAATGCTGTAGTTTGCAGTAGGTCAGTTTGGAGTCAGTTATCAGTCTTAAGCAAACTTGTGAAATACATTTTTGATTAGACAGAATTAGCTATCTTTGTAGAGTCGTAGTATCGATCAGTGTGCGGGGCAAACCCATCATACTGCAGACACTCCAGGTTGCCTGCCAGTGAATTTTCTTCGAGATGCAGATCAGTGTATTCAAGACCTATAGACATAGACCGAAATTTGATTTAAATACTTGGGCCGTGGTCTATCAGCCGCTGCGGGATAACCGCGCAGTAGTTAAAAGCTGCGAATATAGTAAATAATTCTAGAAGTCGTTCTTCTTATCAGCCTTCTGCGGAACCACATTCGGAAGAGGTGACTAATTAAGTAGTAGGTATAGCTTAAATTTTTAACGTCCTTAAATATTAATATCTATAGTGTGCGGGAAAACATAAACATAAATATTCTTTTCTTGCACTAATTAGCTTTCTAATTATGAGATTTTTTAAGAAAGCACAATTTTTATCCAAATAGCGTCCTATCTGTACGTTTATTGATGCCCCTCGCATAAAGTATACAACACTGTAACGCTTTCATGATTTTAATTTCATGAAAAGCGTTCAGCTTTTAGGCTGAAAATATTAACTGCAACGTCAGGATGGACTTAAAATTATTCAGGAAATAGAGAACCTTTTTTTAACTGAAATATCCTCTCACTTTGAGTAAAAAAGCTTTAAGAATCGGTGACTTACCGTCAAAGCACCAGAAGAAATAATACTCTTTGCCTATGTTTTCTAGAAAATATATTCCCATTTACGAGGGCATTGACAATAAATACAAACAGACGCACTGTTTAGGTATAAACGCCCGCTTCACGCCATGAGTTTAATCACACTTGGATCGATATTAC